GATGAAGCTACATGGAGTACCGCGCTCCATTGTGTCCGATCGTGATCGAATTTTTATGAGTAGCTTTTGGACGGAATTTTTCAAGTTGCAAGGGACCGAGCTTTCCATGACCTCGGCCTATCATCCGCAAACCGACGGGCAAACGGAGGTGACCAACCGCACGCTTGAGCAATATCATAGGTGTTACGTGCATCAATTTCCAAAAAGGTGGGAGAGTTACTTGCCTTGGGCCGAGTACTGGTATAACACTACTTACCATAGCTCGACCAAGGCAACACCGTTCGAGCTTGTGTACGGGCGCAAACCTCCAACAATTGTGAGCTACTCGATGGGTAGTGCGGTGAACGATGAGGTGGATTGGGAGTTGGTCGAGCGCGACTTGATGTTACGCGAACTTAAGGAAACTGTAATACTCCGTTTCATTTTGGATTATTGGAGAATAAGTATTGATTATTGCTATTATTAAATTGTCTTTATTATTATTATTATCATTATAATTATTATTATTATTATAATTGCTATTAACTGTCAAATTGCTATTATTTATTGGTTATTAGTAATATTGCTATTATTAATATAAATTGTCTAAATATTAATAATTGTCAAATTGTAATTATTTGTCAATGCATATTTTTATTATTAATATTATTATTTTAAAATATTATGTGTATTATAAATATAGATATTCCGGATTATATATTCGTCGTCAAGAGAATTGTTCGATGTTAGTCCTCGGATATGAATCTCGTCCCAATTGGAATTTTATTCCAATACCTTTTACTATGTTATTTAATGGACCCAGTGTCTAATATTGTATGTAGCCCAAATTGGTAAGTGGCCCATTGGCAATAAATCTTTTTTTTGGCCCATAAGATCACGATCTTGCAGAGCCCCTTTTCAGTTTGCTTCCTTCGCGATGGTCAGACCGAGTCTTCTTCAACCTCAACAAGATCAAAATTTTGTTCCGATACTTCGGTGAAATCCTTTGCACGTCCTCCCCTTTTCACTCGCCGACTTCCTTCTCACCTATTATATCTCGGTCATCTCATATCTCTCGCTATAGTATCAGTTGTGAATTTTTCTTTTCGAAACCTGCAACAGCAAATCATCCCTCACCATTAATTCCGACGAGAGACCTGCCATCATCGTTGTCCCGAGCAGCGTCCTGCCATCGCCGACGCCCTCCGCAGCAGTTGACCCTTGCCGTCGATTCCAGAGCAGAAGCCAATCGTGAGCCTGCGATCCGGCGGACCTCCATTGTTTCCGGCGAAAGCTCTGCTCGTGTGCCTCCGGCATTCACCGTTCTTCCCGACGAGACCTCCTGTTCGCCGTCGGCGTCCACGCAGTGGAGAAATTCGAGGATCAGCAGACTTCAGTCACCGTGTCCGAAGCTTTCGAGTTCAGAGTCCCTTTCGTCCTTTCGGCCCCGTTTCGCCCCGACCGTCTTCCGATAACTCGTAGATTCCCGAAGATGGGTAATCTTTTCGAACCTTTCTGGTTTACTGTTCGTACTACCTTGTTGCTGGAATTTTTTTCTCGTTGAATCGTTCATTAGTATTTGGAATTCGAATTAATTATTGGTTCGTTCGTTGAATTTTGGATTATTATTGAATGAATCGTGAATTGGCGTGGATCTCCCGGAACTCTCGACTTAGTTTAATCGAGTCTGTTTTTTATCGCTGCAAATTAATGATAGATTCGGAGTCTCGTTAAATTCTTTCGGGTTGTTATATTCATCACTCGTGTATGTATTTTGTTCAGGCCGGTTACGTGTTGCTCAAACCCAGTTCTTCTAACCTTTCGAAACTCTGAATGTGTATGAGTTATCAAAATTTTACAATGTCTTGAAACTATTGTTTTGGCAAATTCGTTTTAATCTCAGAGTTCCGTTTTATTGATTGGAGCCGTGTCGTAGTCGTTATGTCGTTTGGTCGTTTGCGAACCGTTAGGTGTTGTTTCCTATTATATTTTGAAAAATTTCTGTGAATTTAGCTGCTGAAATCTGTAGCATAAAGTGTTGTTCAACCTGCTAGTAGGCCTTTCAAATTCGCAGCTTTTATTTCAGTTTTAGAAGGCTTTGTTCAAAAATTTATTTTGTAAGTTTGCAATTTAAGTCGCAGCCAAGCGTGTAGCGCAACGATTCCGCGTGATTTTCTGTACGCGAGGTCGCGTGTTCGAATCCCAACCCTTGCAAAATGGCTTTTTTTTTTT